ACAAATTAAGATAGTACACAAAAACAGGGAGTAGAACAATTTGACTGAAGGTCGTAGAGGAGCGAAGAAGCAGGACTGGCAGATTGCCAAAAAAAATGATGGATTTAGACAAACTAAAATGGGCAATTAACTTAAAGTTTTGAAGAGAACAAAGATTCGCTAGCATATTCAGAAGTTATCTTTGGATACAGACTAGGAGCATGAAGAACAAGTATTAAAAATTAAAAATTAAAAAAAAAACCGACTTTAAAAACGTGCAAATACCATTACCATATTTTAACCAAATTTATATGGGACCACCCCTGAGGTACCCCCTTACTAGCAAAAAAGAATCATATAAATCGGAAAAGGTGGTAAAGCATTATCTCTAAACATACATAAAAAAGAGTTTGAGGATTTTCTCATGGGCCCAATTATTAGATTTTAAACAAATTTATATGGGACCACCACTAAAGTACCCCCTTTCTAACAGAAAAAGAATTATTGAAATCGGACACCATGTTAAAGAATTATCGCTGAACCTACATAAAAATATCGCGACGAATTGAGAACCTCCTCCTTTTTTGAGTCCGTTAAAAATTAAAATTACTTTTTTACCAAAACGTGGAAAACTGGGACTGGAAAAGGCCAAGTTCCTAAGACCTATAAGTCTAATGTGTTGCACACTCAAGGCTTTATAGAAACTGCTAGATAGGCACATTAAAGACGTAATATTGGTTAATAGACCACAGGATAATCCAAGAATCTATAGAACACACACTATTGACTTCTACAAACTTGTACAAGGGACTAAGGTGACAAAATGGGTGACAATATGGGTCAAATACAAAAGGCCATTAGGACTTAGTTTCTGTTCTCGTAAAGAATGTTCAATTTTCTTATTAGGAGTTTATAAAAAACTACCCACAATACTTGAATTTTGAGAAGAGAATTATGTAGGAAATATAATCCAATAAGATTATGTTTAAAAGATTTGCTAGTGATTTGCGCAAGAAGAATAATTCCATTCAAGCGTGGGATATTACTTTTTAAGGCATGATCTTTATCTTTAACTTTGTCGGTTATATGTCCCAGTAGGTTCCAGTTGTTGGAGATTTCCAGTCTATATGCACTCATTCTGGCCTCCCTTTTATGACTAGGTCAAGGGGTGGGAGGTTTGGAATGATTTCCATAGGGCTGTCGATGTACTTCTCAGTGCTTCTGTAATAAAAAGGCATGCCAGCCTCTGAACTCCTGAGAGGATATTGAGGGCTGTTTTCTGGTTTACTTTTGGCCACCAAACAACCGTTTCATAAGTTATCATGGATCTTGTTATTGCCAAATATAGCCACTGGACCATTTTTGGTTTTAATCCCCATGTTTTTTTAAATGTCCGTCTCCCTATAATGAGAGATATTTTGTTGGCCATTTTTTGTAAGTGTTGGTTCAAAGTAGGTTTGCTATCTAGTATTAGACCCAAATATTTTACTTGCCTCGTTTTGTTCAGCCTTTCTCCAAACAGACTTGGAGTTTTTAAAACCTCCAACCTTGTTTTCCGAGTAAAAGTTATGAGTTGTGCCTTATCAGGGTTTACCAAGGGGTTTGTCCTACCATATTTTTGTCAGCCTAAGAGCTCTTTGCATGAGTTCAAAGACTGTGTTTTAGTGTTTTCCTCGGATAGGATGACTATGTCATCGGCATATCCTTTGGCGTACAGCCCTTGATTGTTCAGTGTTTCCAGCATCTAATACTAGGTTCCACAGTAGAGGAGAAAGGACTCCACCCTGTAGGCATTCCCTGTGGATATTCACTGAACATTTGTGGCTGTACTTACCGTCCGCGTAATATGTTTTCTGTCAACCAGCAGATGGTGTATTCTATTCCATGTTTGCGAGCGGCAGCTACCATTGATTTAAAGGAGGTATTATCAAAAGCTCCTTTTTATGTTAAGAAATGTTCCTAGGACTAGTTATGGCTACTGGGTTCCTCCTTTATCTTGGTTAACGCATGATAGATTGCCACTATCCATCTGGATACCTATTCTCTAACTCATGGGAGCACTCCCACACTCCCATGCTCCCATACTCCCATGCCAACGTTGCCAAGTCGACAGAATAACTTTGATCTACTATTTAAGGACCGATCCACAGTTGTGTTAAACGAAGTTTAAAATGACATTTTTACATTAACAATGTCATTTTAATCTCCGTTTAACTCAACGGTGGAATCAGCCCTTAGTAATTCAAATTTGCTTTGTGATAAATACGGACCTAATCTGGCAAGCCCGCAATTCTCCCTCCCATAGTATAAAATCTGACCTTACTACGGATGTACCTGGGCTAAAAGTGAGTAAGCACGATATACCCACCTAAGAGTAAGAGAGCAAAATATATGGGAGCACTCCCATGGGAGCGCTCCCATGACTTAGTGAATAGCTATCCTGTTATACAACTGTAATTTTCAGACATCCCGGCGGTACCAAGGTCTGTTCCTTAAAATCTTCGGAACTTTCAGTTCGTTCTATATATAAAATTCTTGTTCTTTCTGCGTCTTTTAGTTTTTCTGTAAATACTACATTATTTTGTGTTTTCTTCTTTCATTTTACCTCTTTGTGTTTTCTTCTAATAATATTTTAGTCCTAAGACTATAAGAAATTTTTTGATGTTTACATCAATAGTTTTATCAGTTTTTACAGGTTTGTAATTAATTTTGTATATATAAATTATGTTATTCCTCCTGTTAGGCCTGAAAATGGCCTTAATACCGAAACCAGTTGCTATATACTTTAATAATTAAAAAAATGTTTTGTGGGATATTCATTTTGAGTATAATTTCTTAAACCTTTAGAATTGTTAAATAATAATATCTATTTCTTATAATCTTACTATTTAATATAGTACTTCATTATTATCTAGTAATCTAGTACCTTCTTTTTTTAAATTACTGTCCATATTTAATTGTTTATGTTTTGTTATTCTAATGTGTTTTTGTTCCTAATTGTCTATTATTTCACTGACTTTCATTTGGATTTAATTCAATACCTGTTGAGGTATTAACCAAAGGAGTAGGTATTTTCTGAAGGGCAGGCGCCTATTTATGACAAAATAATATGGCTTTGAATTTTATTTATTTTATTTTATTATTTATTATAAATATTGTATAAATAACAAAACATTCATTACTTGATCAATATGTCAACTGTCTGATCTGACAACGTTTAAAACTTTAATAACGTTTTTCTCATTTCAAAATCATTATTATGACCTTTTATTTGCTGACCATAACAATTTTATAGGACCGGCAGTAATATTGAGGTTACTAGATTTATTTTGATATGTTATAAAAAGTATTAAATGACGATCATTAGGTATAGAAATTTCTGTAAAAAAAATGCAAATTTACCAATGCTAAATCGGATAATATGCAATTCAATCATAAAAAATGGCAATAAAAATTACGTTTAGAATTATAGACCCATTAATGTTATTTCTCGATATATTGATTATGTTAGTCTGGCAAAAAGGTATCGATATATTCTCAGATCAACACGGATTCATGGAATGTAGGGTCCATGGTCACAAATCTTATTTGCTTCACACAGTTTATACTAGAGGTCTTAGATAGAAGAAGTCAAGTGAATGTGATATATACTGACTTTCTCTAGAGCTTTCGACAAAGTTTACCGTGTTTAGTTACTGAAGAAACTTTCTGACATGTTTAAGCACTATCTGCTATATCTGCTAATGACATCTTATTCAGTATCGTGGTTATATATCAGAAAAGTTCTAACAGCTATCGGGAGTTCTGCAGGGATCAATTTTGGGGCCTCTTCTATTCAATATTTTCTTGAATGATATTGTTATAAATATCAAGGATATAAAAGTTGTAATGTATGAAGATGATTTAAAATTGTTAGTGGAAGTTTGTTCAACGAATGACTGCAAAAATCTTCAAAAATATTTATATGATATAGCAAATTGGTGCCAAAATAGTTCACTGCCATTAGATTCAGGAAAATGTTCGATACGGTCTTTTAACAGGCGACTAACTTGGTTTTACTTTTAATTATAGTTTGAATAATATTATTCTTAATAGGCCTGAGTTTGTAAGAGATCCGACCCAGATAACACATCAAATCCCAGAGATATCCGCAGAATATCTTTTGAGGATATCCAATATATCCACAGGATATCAGAAATATTCCTTGGATCTAATATGGATATCCAAATGTCCGTCTATATCCAGGATATAGAAGATATCCTAATGGATATTCAGCAAAATATCTAATGGGTATCTTCCAGAAAATACAAGAAATCACAGAGATATCCACAGAATATATTTTGTGGATATTCAATATATCCAATATGGATATCCAACCAAATGTCCGTCTATATCCCAGGATATAGAAGATATTCGGAAAAATTGTAGGAAAAGTGCTAAATTTAAATTTTTCAGTATTTTCATTTTCAATGAATATCTATAGAAAAATGTTTCGAGGTAGATGTATGTGGAAAATGTATATATTTATTTTATCCTCTAAACATTTATAGAGGTGTTGCAATATGTTGAACAAAATAACCTGAAAAAGCCGATAATAACTAGATAGGAAAGTCATGTGTTGGACACATCAGATTTTTTGTTATTTAAAATCTTCATTTTATACAAAATTTTTAATTTCTGAATCTATATTAAAACCCATTTAGTTCTAAATGTCTTCAGATCAAAAAAATATAAAAAATACACATTTAAACGTTTTTAAAAAAATATAAGTAACAAATATTTATATTTTTTATTTAACCATTTAAGCCATCCACACCTGTATACGATAAAAAACATTTTGAACACGTGACTTATGGGATTTGTAAAATTTTATATTATCACGAAACAAATTTACAATTATTTGCCATAAAAAAATCTTTAAATGTATTAGAGATACTTCCATATCAACTCTAGTGTAATATAGATCTAAACTATAGTTAAATCATGCAGTTCGCTTCTAAAATTAGGCCAAAACAGCTCACCTGAATGCGAGATCAGCCCGATAGCTCCCAATAAAAAAATCCGCAATACTGCCATCTTGTCACAAATAAAAAACTATTTTCCAACGTTTATATTTCACCGAAATATATAAATCACATCACTCACATGTTTTAAAAACCACATTAAACCTGTCACGTGGAGTGTTCGTTACTTACAGTCTCGATACACCTCTTATTAAATGATTTCTACATCTTAAACCAACAGTTTTATATGTCTTAATTGTTTATTTAGTTCCTGTATTTGATAGTATTGAACCGCGGGTAATTTAACACATAACTATGCCTTGTATAAACATCCCATGATACGTTGGGGATGAATTTGTCCACACTGAGTGTAACGCCACCCTTATCGTCGGTGGAAACCCCTGAAAATATAACGACACAGGCGCAGCAAGCACGATCTATACCAACTTATACCGTTCTAATCTTTTTAAATGAAAAATTCTTGAAAAAGTCGCAGGATGGGTTCAATTTGTTTTTAGCAATTGTGTAATTTGTCACGACATTCTGGATTAGAAACGGTGATAATGGTAAAGGAATTTTGTTTGCGAAAAACGATGTGACGAAAGGGTGTAAATAAAACCGTTTAAAATTGAAAGGGTTCAGAGTTAGATTAAACTTTTATTGCAGAATTGTATATTTTCCCTTTAATTTCTTGCTAAAATTATGTCAGCAGTTAAACTAAGTAGAATTTACAAGGAAATAAAACTCTGTTATTTGCCGCAGAATTTTCTTTTTTAAAGTTTGAATGACGAAGGCAAATATACTTGATTTAATATAAATTCCAATGCACGTTGTCGAAGACGGGTCTAATTTTAGGCTGCTACAATCAGACATAATTGTCAAATTACCAAAATTAAAGGGAAACTTTAGAAAATCTGAAATTTTCCGTAAACACTGAATTCAGTAGGAGTAAAATTTGCATAAGGGGTTTGAAACGGCGAAATAAATGTTTTGGCTTAGATCAGAGGTGAAAAAATTACCAAATTTTATTTATGTTCATTTAGTTTATAAACATCGATTTTTAAAACCTTCGTAATATAATTAAAATTAAACACTTGTAATGTAATTTCTACAATGATAATTACAAAAAAATATAATTTTAATGAGAGTGATGTACTTGATGGATTGACAGCAAATTATTAATATTTGGCTTGAGTTTTGTAAGAAATAATCGTAATTCTCCCATTTCTGTGATATTTAATCTGCTCCTTTTTTTTGTAATATTGTTTGGAAATATTTCAAATCTTTACCTATTTTATCAGAATGACACCTTCTTAGATGATCTTCCAGCTTTGATGATTTCATAGAGTCATTGCTTAAAACTTTGTTGCATAAAATGTGGGCAATCGTTTGTCTGCCTTTGATGGAAGAAAATCAAATTTTAAATATTCAACACCTTACTGACGACACTTCTTCTTAGATTTAGCCATGTTTTGTATCAATTACCTACCTGTAAATGTGTAAATAAATAAATAAAAAAAAACTTTGTTTTAGTAATCTTAAGGCGATTCGAACTCAACAGGATATGGCTATTTAAACATAATATGATTAATCAATTATTATAAATATTACGAAACAAACAAAGTTCCGGCTGCAAACTGTTTTTAATTATTTAAAGCAATAATTCGCTAAGATCCATAATAGAGTTTTATGAAAACGGCTGAACTTATTTTAATGTGAAATAAAATTATTATTTCATTTATTATATTTTAGTATATTTCTGTAAATTCTATAGAAACTTTTAAACATAGATGTAAATTCTATAGAAACTTTTAAACATAGATATAAAAAGGAAAATTGAAGTGTTAGAAAGAAAGGAAAAGAAAAATAACTTAATATTTTATAGTATACCTGAAACCCAAAATGAAACAAGTTACGAATTAGTTAACAAAGTAGAAAAAATAGTTAAAGAACATATAAAAAATGACTTTAATAAAGAAGAAATAAGTAACTGCTACAGAATTGGAAAACATAATTCAAAAAATCGACAGCCTGTACTTGTAAGCTTAATTTCAAAAATAACACGGGGCGAAATCCTAAAAAACGGAAAAAAACTTAAAGGAACAAATATATCATTACAAGAGGATCTAATAAAGAAAGATCTAGAAGAAAGAAAAGTGCTATTAGAGCATCTCCGTACTGCAAGAAATAAAAATAAAAAGGCAAATTTAAAAGGAAATAAACTTTACATAGAAGGTGAGCTTTATACCTTCAAAGACTTATCCCCACCACCTAGAAGAGCAAACAGTGAACCTTCCACGTCATCATATGAAGTATTTGATGAGGAACAAAAAGAGGCCAAAGAAGACATCAAAGAAAATAAAATAGTGCAGAATTTAAAAAATAACAACAAGAGTAGGAAAAATACCACAACCGAGGATCGCGGGACACCAAAACGCACTAATCCGATACGTGCTGGAAGGAAATAGTTTATAGGGATACAGGACAATTTTATGTACACCGTTTAGTGATAGATGCTAATTAGGTTTTATTTTAAGTTATATAATTAGGTAGGTATTAAAATTAAAATATGAATCAATATTTGCGGGATTTTACACTAACTAAACTCGATACTTTTTCTATATTAAATTCTGATGAGTTAAATGAAGTACTCAACACAAATAAAAACTCACAAAATTTTACTCTAATTAATAAAAATATCCGAGGTATACGTCATAACTTAGATAAATTAAAAATATTTTTGGAACAAATCGAAACTGACATTGACTGTATCGTATTGACCGAGACAAGGATAGTTGACGACATAATAGTATTTAATATAGCAGGATATAAAACACTTTATAATCAAGGAACATTCAATCAAAATGACGGTGTAATAATTTTTGTTAAAACCGAAATCTATAGTTCACACGAAATTATTAAATTCGATAACAGTCACTTGATTAAATTAAAAGTAAATAATAACAATAAACAAATAGAAATAAACGCCCTCTACCGGTCCCCATCAGATACAAATATAAATGGATTTATAGACAACTTAACTCAAAGACTAAACGAAGATATAACAAATATCGATTTCTCAATATACACTGGAGATTTTAATATTAACCTTTTAGCAAGCACAGATGCTACAAAAATGTACTTAGATGTATTTTACGAATATGGATATGTTTCAGCAATAAATATACCTACAAGAGAAAAAAATAATTCAAAAACATGTATTGACCATATCTTTATTAAATCAAAAAATAATCAATATGATACAATTATTCCACTTGTTGTGGAAACAGATATAACTGATCACTTTGCTACACTTTCACAAATAATTTTCCCGGAAACTAAAAATCAGTCTGATAATACAAATTCAAATTGTTTTACACAATTAGACTGTAAAAAACTTCATAACATTATAAAATCTGTCAACTGGAATGAAATTTATGTTTTATGTAATCTGGATTCTGCAACAAACAAATTTATTAATATTCTAAATACTAGCGTTCAACATAGCACAATTTTTTTAAAAATCAAAAATAAAATAAGGAAAAGGTCAAAATGGATTACGCAATCATTAATTAAAGCTATAAATATTAAAAACAATTTGTACAAGACATTTAAACACAATCCTAAAAACGAGGAAATCAAGGATCGATATTTCGAATTAAAAAAAAAAGTAGAGAAACTCATAAGGAAAACAAAAATAGATTATTATAAGGACCAAATCAAGAATAAAGAAAATGACTCAACACAAATGTGGAAAACAATAAATGAAGTATTAACAATCCCAGAACCGACAAAAGTAGTTAGCGTAAAAAATGAAAATAATGAAATAATTACATCTACGCAGCAAATATCAGAGAGTTTTAATAAATATTTCGTTAATGTAAGTAAGTCCTTGGCAAATAAAATAAAGTGTAATAAGGATTACAAACCACCAAGGTACATAAATGCCCATTCGATATTTTTCTCTCCTACTAATAATCAAGAGGTAATAAGAATAATATCGGACTTAAAAAACAAAAAAGCACCAGGAGATGACGGTTTAAAAGCAGAGACATTAAAACTAATTTCAGAATATATAGCTAGTCCTCTAACCTATATAATAAATAAAATGTTTCAACTGGGAACATTTCCTACAGCTCTTAAATTATCAATCGTTACACCTATATTTAAAAATGGAGATAAGTCTGAAATAGGCAATTACAGACCTGTGTCCCTCATATCAAATATTGCTAAAATTGTTGAAAAAATAATAAAAATTAGGCTAACAAACTTTTTGGAAAAACATAACATATTATCACACTCGCAATTTGGCTTCAGACAAAAAATGTCAACCCAGGATGCAATTAAGTGCTTAACAAAAAATATCTATGAAACATTAGACAAAAATAAACCATCAATTGGAGTATTTATTGATTTAGCAAAGGCTTTTGACACTGTAGACCATAGCCTGCTTCAATCATCTTTAGAAGACATAGGAGTGAGAGGTACTGCTAATGATTTGTTTGCAAGCTACTTAACAGGTAGAAAACAAAAAGTAAAAATCAAGCAGGATCTAAGTAGTGAACAAACTATCATGTGTGGTGTCCCTCAGGGAACAGTGTTGGGTCCAGTGTTATTTATAATTTACCTAAACAATTTGTTTTTATTAGAAGAAGACAACAAAATAATTAGCTTTGCAGACGACACGGTAATATTTTATACAGCTGAAAATTGGTTTGAACTAAAACAAAAGGCTGAGGTCCATTTATCCGAAATTAAAAATTGGTTCGATCACAGACTACTTTCAATGAATTTCAAAAAAACTTTGTATGTACCTTTTAGTTCTCTAGACTCATCTCTTCCAAATTTTAAGTTAACAGTCCAAAACACAATTCAAATTCAACCTGCAAACCAAATAAAATATCTAGGTATTTTCATTGATAGTATGCTAAAATGGAACGTACATATTGATTTTTTAGAAAAGAAACTTAGATCAATTCTATATAGGTACAAACAGATCTCAGAGATACTGGATATTAAACAAAAAATTATAGTATACCAAAGTATAGTTGAACCGCATATTAGATATGGTAT